ACATGGCTGTATCGCATCTTTTTCGAAGTCTATCAAGACATCAACTATTTTTTGACTTGTGGTTCTTTTTTGGTCACTCTAATTAGACATTAATTTCACCCAATTTGTATAGTATCAGTGCTAAAATCTGCTGTCATTACCCTAGACTTAAAGAAAACAAGTCTAAAACCTTCTGAGAGTAAATATCATCAGAGTTCATGCTTTATGTTCAGGCTTTTAATGTAAAATTCTCCTTTCATGTCTCTTTCAAGTCTGCTTGAATGAGCTGCGTATTACCAGTTGCTTTCCCATCTGTCTCAATTTAGTCTCTTTGACAAATTCCAATCTGGCCTGAGGAAAAATCAGAGTACTGAAACCACTCCACACTAGATTATTAGGTATATTTTATTAACAGTGTCTCTTTACTTAAACAAAAAATCTTGACAACCTTTAACTCCCCTGCCAGCAATGTCTTGCAGAGCCCTACGACTTAGACTTACACATTCTGATGGCTTCACACCCCTCTCTTTTCATTCACTCCCATCTTCTGACTTTTCACCAGGTACAAAAGTAAGGGTTTTCCTCTTTAACCTTTAACCTTTCATAATCTCACTGGACATAACCTGCATGGTTTGTACAGCATATAAACTTCACATGATTCCTTTCACTTTCAAGCTGCCTGACCCTTACCCACCCTGAAAGTGCACTGAGCATTTCATGGATATTATAGACACACTAATTTTGTTCCTTAACCTGTCCCAACAGACTTTACTCTAAATGCGTGTGTTAATTATCCTAAATTAAAAATCTCACAAAACCAAATCTAGAGAGGAAAAAACTCTCACAAATGTAGCTTGCATTCTGCTACGACTCTTTTGTCAGGATATTGCAGGTTTTATGCCTATGGCTTAATCTGGTATGTTTTTCAAATTGCTATATGGAATGTGTTCCAAAAATGGTGACCCCAGTCATACTTTGGGTTTCAGAGGTCATTTGTTGGACTGGGTTTTTATTTCTTTGTTTTTGTGGTTTTTTTCCCAAACTGTTGTGTTCCCACTCCTCTCCCCGTCCCTCCCCAATCCTTTTCACAGGAAATTTAATTACAGAACTGCCTATTCCCAAGTAAATAGAAGGCTGCACTACGCAAACAATAAAGATCTCTGTTTAAAAGTAATTGTTGGCTAGGTTTGAAAACCCTTAAGGGAAGAGGAGAGAAAATATAGGCTGCTGCCCAGAATTTCTTGTTTTACTAGAAATGAGTTTCAAGCTAAGACTTTCGAGTAGTCTTGTGAATCCCAAATCTACCATCTGCAAGACTATTCCAAATTAGCAGGGGAAAAAATTCACATGTTTCTACATATCAGTTAATTCATCAATTTCTGATGAATTTCAGTCCTAACATGTCCTGAACATGCAGAAACCCTGCTGTGCTAGTTGCTCAGCAAATCATAGCACCAACTGCCTGAATAACCCTGTGGCACTTTCTACCAGAATTACTGTTAGGCAAGAATTTGTATTGTACTTTTTTCTTAAGCCGGGCTTGTCATCCTGTCTGGGAACTGTTCTCTTCCACAAGCACCCTAGATGTCACTTGTTTAAAATAAAACAAACCAACGAACAAAAAACACCAAAAAACCAAACGCATATGATGAGCATATCTGTTTCTAACTGCATGCAGGGAAGTAAGGAATTAAGGATATGTTAGTTCTAACATGTCACATACATATTTTGAAAAGGTGAAATGACCCTTTTTTGGCTGAGTTGGCCTTCACTCCTCGCACACAGCTAGTGGACTGCTTCATGCCATTACTGGGCAACAGAATGCCAGCTGAACACACCTCTGTGGCAGGGTGTCTTGGCATTGCTTGGTATTATGGCTGTAGTGACATGATCACCATCTCAGTAGTAACCCGAAAGTCGCGGAATTTGAATCATTCTCAAAATTGCTATATATGAATTATTTAGAAAGTTAAGGACAAATTATTATTTTTTTTATTTCAACTACTAACCAATAAATGTAAAAAAATACCAACAACAAAACAAAAATAAGCCCCTTCATCCCCCACATTAAAGCAATAGTTTTTGTAACATTCAAAACAGTGGAAACTATTTACTGTATATTACTATTAGTGGAGAAAAGCAAATTTAATTTAATATCATTTTTTTCAAACTCCCTCAGTGGATGCCAGAAAACTCCAGCTTAAACAAATATAAAAAACTCATTTTAAATGGAGAATAATACAGACAGAGCTCAATTATTGAGATATTAAGGGCAACATTCAGTTTGAGATACATTTAAGCATCTTTGCCTCCTGGAGATTTTTACATGACAAGGCTTTAGATAAACACGGTTTTGCAAACAGCAACTATCATATCTGATCACATAACCTCTGTACTGAAGCAGTATGTCAGCAAATATTTCTGATTATTTAAAATATTAAGTAACTGTAATTTACTAGGCAGGTCTTCCTCAGAACAATCACAATTTTTTTTCAAGAATTAATACTCATATACAAAAAGCATTTAGATGATCTGTTACAAATCTCTGAATAATAAAAAAAAAAAAAAATCACCTCTTTCTGTAAGAAAACCCAGTTTAAATACATTCTGGGACATAGTAGTAGTGGAGGAGCTGCCTTTCTACGACACTCAGCTTGCAGGGGAAACTGTAGCAGCCAAGGACATGTAGGGTAGGAATCACCTCACCTACCTTTAACTATCTAGACATTAGATGCCTAATTTAAGCTAATCATCTGGGTTCCCTCTACAGGTAATGGAGATAAGCATTCCCAGAGGGAGATTCATTCTGCTTGTCTTAGGCATCCCTCTTTTAGATGCTTGTAGATGGATAAAGTCAAGAAAGATCAGCCTCACTGACAGCCTGATAATCTGTGTTTAGTGATGCACAATTTCCAGATTCAATAAAATATAGCCAGGACTGAGATTTCTTTGATTCATCATTTAGCCTTTAATTCTCCCTCTGACCCAACTTTTTCTTCAGTTCCTCCCATGAACATCAACTTTCTCTGGCACTTTATTTTTCTTACACTGGACTATGTTTTCCTGGAACCTGGAGAACTGCAACCAACATCAATATGTTGCTGCTCTGCCAGTTACAAATCCATTTACACGCATGTGCTCTAAATTGGAGTAATGTTCTGAACAGATAGATACAATAGGAGTATTGATAGCAATTGTGCTTTCTGGGTCTACTCTACCATTTTCAAATGTGTAAAAATCTGTGGCAACATTAAGGCAGTCAAGGTATATAGATGAATGCTAAAATATATTTCCTATTCAAAGAAGATGGCTTAAATCAAACAAGGAAAAATAAGGAAGAAATACCATTAGGGCCCTCACTTTTACTTGTGTGAGCCCATGTCACCACACATGCTTCGAGGCCTCTGTGCATCAGAATATTGAACAAGTCCTAAAGGTGAAGCCTGGCCTCAACTCTCTTGCATTTAGGGTTTGTGGGTTCTCAGCAATACCAGCATTGCTGCATTACACCTTTTAATCACCAAGCCCTTAGAAACAATAGCCAAGATTTATAAGGAAGCAGGTGTCTGAACTTAGACTCCTAAATTCATAGCTGGGTGCCTAAGCAGCAGCAAAACTGAAAGCACCCTGTGCAGTTGCCCACAGATGCTCACCCCAGTAGTGAGGCACTTAGCATTTGTCATAACACAAAATGGATGTTTATTAATTAAGAGTGTTCCAACAGCTTGGAAGTGCCTTGGTCGAGTGCTTGCATGTACTAATTTCAATATTGGGCATGCAGTCTACTCTGTGTCTTACTTCTACAGCATTTCTAGAAAATTAATTTTAATAGTTAAAAAACCATCTTGAGCTGCACACATGAAAATAACTTCATTTCTACTGAATGACAATTTAAGAGGAAATAAGAATATTCACCTTGTTTTCTTACTCTGCCCAAATCCAGGCAATAAATTAGGCTTCTCAGCATGACTGTAAAGTGCTGTGAATTGTATAAACAATCATATATGGACACTGAAAAATAAACCTTATGCACATTGCATTATAGTTCCAAAAATATATTTACAGTCTATTACAAAGATTACAAATGGAAGTGTCTATGTAACGGGAGTATGCTAGTTAAAAGCTTTTTACAGATTTTCTTCAATAAAGGCGGAGGGGGGAATTAGTATAACCAAACTGATTTTTCTAATGAAACAAATAAATAAAATGACAAATATAACACTGTACAGTGATTTAAAAAGGGGGAGAAAAAAGGAGGGGGAAAATGATGCATTTAAGTTTCTGATAACTATCTTTGGTCCTAAATGTGGGAAAACACATTATGTAGCACTGAATATACGTGTTTGTTTGTGATGCTCTGCAAGTAAAATAGAAAAATATAGTGCATTTTCAATGTATTCAGAGCTCACTACACATAAATGTGTGTACAAAACAAGACAGTATAAATAAAATTTACAAGTTTTACAAAGGAACATTTACAGGGTTTTTCTTTTGTTTTTAGTTTTTTGTGTGGATGCCCACATAATCAAACAAGACCAATTTATGACTGATCCCTGGGATCTTTCTCTATCAAAATCAATAGAAGCAGCCCAATTCTCTTTGGAAGTACAGCATTTCATTGCTGGAGTAGTTCACAATTTTCAGATTTTTTTTTAAAGCATTTCTCTCTGGTTCATATACATTCCTGCAATATCTGTAAAGACACTGTTCATTATTGCTTATGGTAGTTATATATTTTAATCAAACAAAATTCATATATAAGTAAATGGTGTAAAAAGATATTCCGTTGAGCAACTACTCTTGCATCTGTGTTCCTGATGAATGACTGTTTTGTCTGTGTGAGCACACACATGCATGTTTGTTCAGAGCAGCAAAAGCTTGTAAAAAACTTGAAAATTTTGAACTGCCCCTTGCCTCATGCTCTACAGTTCTCATATAAAATCTATATCCTTATTCTGACAGCTGGACTGCATTCAGCTTAAACTCATATAAAATATATGCCAGCTATTTCTCTCAGGTTTGCTAAAGCAGAGTATTGAAAAAAAATGTGATGTGCTCAGATTAAATGGTTTAGGTAACACTGGAGAACTGCACCCATGTTCTGAGACACTCCTACAATCACTTGTCCATTCAATGTAATGTCTCAGCAGGTTTACAGTTGTAGATCTGCATCTTATAATATATCTCACTTTCACTCTAGTCCATTAAAATCACCTTGCAAACAATTTGCTAAAAGTGCCTAGAACTACTTAGGGGTCATTATTGCTTTTCTTTTTTCTTTTATTTTTTTTTCTCTTTTATTTTCTTTTAAAAGATAGTATATGTGTAACCTTAAAAAATTTTTTAAAAAATATCAGAGCTCTTGGCAACTTTCATTTTCCTGACTCCCTGCCAATTAGCTAGCCATGTCAATACGGTGCTGATTTAACAAAAGTAAATGGCACAAAAGGATACCAAAGTTTGGACAGATATACATTGCTTGGTCATGCTTCTTAAATCTCTAGGAACTCAAATAATCCTTCAGAGGTACCCAGTGTAGTAATGTGTCATAGAATTAGCACTAAAAATGTCCAAAGATATAAACATCATACTAAAAGAAAGTCTTTATGAAGAATAAACACAAATTATTAAAAAAAGATTCAGAAATCACAGATTTAAGGAAAATATTTTGTTGAATTCAACAATAATATCATGATTTTATCTGACAAATATATTCTTTTTTAAATTTGTATGTACATTTAAAAAGTCTATTAGATAAAAAGGAGGTTAGAGAGCTCAAGGTGTTTGTATGTTTATTCAGGTAGTACTTTGTTTATTGTCACTGCTGTTTTCCTTGCCACCACTGGTGGATCCTAATTCCCTTTTCATAAATTCTGGTGGCACTTAGGAGTTCAAGTCTGTAGGTGCTTCTTGTAGCTCTTCTATTCACTGCAGGAAGGACCCAGGAAATCAAGTGTCTTCTAGCAGCACTTCATATATACTGAAGGCCAGTGCTGTTCTCTCAGTCTGTCACCTCCCTCATAAGGGAGAAATGTCTATCACACTTGGATGCCAGTGCCGTGTAAATGTAGCATTTGTGCTCTCATAGTCTGAATGCTGCTCATGATTTTCTTTTGATGACCAACCAACGTGATCCCTAAACTCATCACATCCCTGGGGAAGATAAATGCGTACATTGTTAATTTTTCAACTTAGACTGCTATTGTATGGTATTCAACTGTGAGTCAAAGCTACGTAGTGGTCTGAGCTACAGGTTTCTAACATCGAAGCTGCACTGGAACCTCAGCTCAGTACTGTGAAGTTCATATAGGCGCTGTTCAACTTCTCAGCAAGGAGTGCAATTACATGGCAAGCGTCATGTAATTACACTGCATGTGTCTCCACATCTGAGAATGAGGCCAGTATGGTTTGCACTATGATAATCTTTTATTGTGGCTTTTAAGGACACCCGAAGAAAGAGACAATTCTCTTGTAAAATACTTTGGGTGGCTTTCAGGACAAAGTTATGTATAAATACAAGATTTTGGGGATCACATTCTGCTTAAAGAGATGCCTAGAGAAACCCTTTGCATATTGACCCATACCCATCATGCAAATGAAAGAGGAGCAGCTGTTTCAATTCCACTGTTACTAGTGCTACTAACCTAGTAGAAGCTTGTGGGCTCTGATGACAGCTCCCAAGCTACAGGCTGAGACCCCTAGTGATACCAGGCAGATAAAAGTAGGGTTGCAAACTTGAGAATATTGTTTAAAAACTTGTTTAGAAAAACACTGCTCTCTGTAAGAGGAATTACGTGTGTTTGGCAACCACCAGGACAAGAACGTTGTTTGTGGGATGCCAAGAAGACCTGTTTAAGATGGCAGCACCAATACAGGCCATGCTTGCCTTCAGAAAGTTGTTTTGCTTCTATAGACTTTTATCCTGATGCAAAGTCATTTCTTGCAGGACACAGACAGCCCCCAGCCAATTAGAAGAAAATTCCACATCTTCCTAGTACATATCTGGAAAAAGGTACCAATTATGTAGTGGAGGCAAAGTGGTTCTTTTCCTATACATACATATTTTGAAATAGGTCACATTCTCCCTCAGATTCTAGCCCCTTGGTGTTATTTCAATTGGTCTCAAAAGCAGGGAAAAAAGTGATGCTACACATAGGTAGCAGGGTATTTGCCCTTTCATGGGATGCTCTAGTACAACATCATCAGCTGCTAAACCGGCTGGCTTATCCCCAAGTACCATGTTTGTACTCAGGGTAAAGTTTTGGACTTGAACATTGTGTATTATTTTACCTAGAAATTCCCTAAATGCAAGTTAAACATGCCCAGTACTAACTTACTCAATAGTCATCCTGGCAACTGATTCAAGAGAGTTGTAGCCTGCTGCTGTGAAATTATCCTTATATCTTTCCATCTTAATAGCTTGTAACCATTCGCCTACGGAGCAGAAAGTGGTAAAATCGGGAGTGTTCTGGTCCAGAAGAGGGCTAATTGGTCTACGGAGAAGGAAAAAGGAAAGTAAGTTGTTTCCAAAGAGAGTAAAACATCAGGGAGTATTTATCAAGGTGAGAGTCAAATAAGTTTGGGGTATTAAAAATGTCAAGAGTAGAAACAATAGGCCTTTATACACAGCTTAGATTAGTCTGCGAATAGCTCTTGACTACTCTGTAGCTCACAATGTGTATTTCCTAAGCTTATTCACATAAAAGACGAAAGGTCAGAGTGAGCAAAATCAGCCTAATGGACTATTACCAACAGAAAATCAACCTTATTACCTAGCATGACAGCAGCTGCAACTAAAGTTGCTGAGTAAAATAAAGATGCTATTCTTTTAAGCATCTTAGAAAATATATTAGTAGCTATTCCCATTATTCAATTGGATGCGACAAAACAAAGACAAGAAAAGATCAGAGACACAAAGTAAGTTGCTTAAGGTCACACAGCAAATCAGTCAGTAGAAGAACCGGGAGCAGAACACAGGCCAGTTGATTCCCTAGTGTAGTGATCTAGTTAGCAGATGAAAAGATTACGATTAAATAATTCACCTGAAAATTATGAAGAAGCCATTAAAAGCTACACCATGAAACACAATGAGATGCAGTCACTGAAAGGAGTTAAAGCCAGAAAATGAAAGATAAAAATCTAGAGTGTAGCAATGTCAAAGTACATTGGCCAAGCATGAGTATTATTAATTACTATTTCTACTGCAGCAGTTCCTAGGGCAAGGGATGCATCATATAAAACTACAGTAGATGATGATCCTTGCCCTCCAGACTTCATAATTTTAAGCAGTAGTTTACTGAGAAGTGTATTAGTTCCATAATATTTACTTTCTTTATTTTGGCTAGTTTTTAAGAAAGTCCTTTTTGGCTTTGTTCAGCGTGGTAAAAAAGAAGGGCAAATGAGGGAAGGGAAGAACAGGGAACAGGAGGAAGGAGGAACTGAAGGACACATGGAGTAAGTGTGAACCGAAACCAGCCACCAAGCAGAACATCCAGAACTCAGCCACGTGCACTATCATATGAATGCATACTAAAGCTTTTCTTACCTGCTACAGGTTCCCAGTGGGGTTTTCAAGCTGTTTGGGTTTCTAATCATTTTGTCCAGAATACCAACTATCTGCTCAAACTTTGGCCTTTCACCACGTTCTTTCTGCCAACAATCTAGCATCAGCTGGTGTAGTCCTGCTGGGCAGTCCATGGGTGCTGGCAAACGATAGCCTTCTTCGATAGCTTTTATAACCTAGTAGCCAACATAGTTAATCATTTGTCATCAAGAGATATTTAAGAAATATATATTGCTACACTGTTCAAGAAATAAAAGACAAAAAAAAATCAATAAACTAAAATTTGCCATCAGTGTTGCAAAAATATGAGTCTGTTCTTTTGACACCAGCCTTCATGTTTTCAAATAATTTCCCTGACTTTATCTTTGGGTTTATTAAGCATATTGTTCTATATGTGCAGAGCATAGCTATATTACCTAGTCAAGTGAGCAGCAGGGAACAACAATTAAATTCACTAAGGGAGCAACAGATAGATTGATAAATGGAGTTATTTCAGAAAGCATTATTACTTGCCCCAAGGTTTTTATAAAAGAGTGTGTGGTAGAAGCAACTGACTTGAAAATGGATAGGGATCTGTGCATGCACATATAAAATACAAAAAGCCTGAAGAGATTATAAAAGGATCCAAGAAAAATGTTTAGCAGACAGAAATTGTTAGGGAAAAAAGTTGTATTCTATGTCTAGCCATGTTACATTAATGATAAAGTAGCAGAAATGTGCCATGTGAGAGAGGAAAACCTGGCTGAATGGTATTTTAATATATCACCTAAACAGAAAGTTAGATTTAATAAGAGATGCTGCTAGATGATGATATGATCAAAGGAGAGCATAAATGTCTGAACCAAGAATTACACCCACCCATTGACTTCCTTAGTCAAGTCCATTTGGATTTAAATGAAAAATAAAAATGTGTAAAGTAAAATCACAGTAACCTGCTGTAAAGCTTCAGGGCAGGATAAGAAAGCACACCAGGAAGCAAAGCAGATAAGAAAGGCTTGTGAAAAAGGGCTAAACCACCATTCATGGGGGATCTCAAGTATACTGACATTGACTGACATAGCAGTATTAGAATTGCTAAAGAAGGGTGCTTGTTCCTGAAGGATAGCGCATATGACTGTCTTCTCCCTCGGTTTGTACAGAAAGCAAGATCAGAAGCTGTTCTGGATGTAGCCCTAGGAAGTAGATCGGGTATGATAAATAAAGTCGGTCAATATCCAGGGTTTAGTGAAAATAATAACCTCAGATAGAAAATATTCCATAGGTTGTGTGAGAAAATGCAAAAGCAATGGACTGCAAAGTAGACAGGACTGAAAAGAATACAAAATGACCTTCAAAAAGCTGGCTGAAATCCATGATTGTATCAAAACCTTTTGCAGAAACGAAGTTTTGTGAAAAGAGGAGGCATAGCCCAGTGGTAGGGCACTTACTGCAGGTTTGTGTCACAGAATGTCCTTCCAACCTCAGGGTAGTTGCCTCATCTCCCTGGGCCTCAGCTTTCTATCTATACATTTAGAATGACAGTACTGTCCTACAACTCAAAAATGACTGAGAAATATTCATTTCCTGCAGTAACATCCACACCTCGAAGAATGACTGTGGTGAACTTTTAGAGACAGTGAAGTTATCTGTCAGACAGGGTGAGGAGCGAGGACTTCTGCAGAAGAACAGGGAAATTGGAAGAAAAATACTATACAGGAAAGAAAACATTAAAAGAAAAATTTAATACCTTTTAGATCAGTATTAATAGGAAAAAGAAGAACAGCTCCTTACACTTAGAAGTAGCAGAGGAATAAAAGTGGAAAACAGGCTACAGTGTGTATAAGACAACTGGTGTGTTATGAAAAGTAATGCAGAAATTTCTGACCTTCTAAAAGGTAAAAGGTATTAAACCCTTTGTGCATAATTCATATGATTTACTACAAACAAAACAGTTGCTTAAGAAGTCAGAATGCAGAGACAACCAATGAGGAATCGAAAAGCAGGTAACACCAACAGCAACACAACCACCAAAATATCTAAGACTCTTAGAACTGGCAAACCATCTAGATAAGACTATATCCAAGAGTGTAAGGCATAGTGAAAACATGAATGAAAGGATCATGAACATGTTTATTACAATCTGCAGAGAAACCTGTAGAGAGGTGGGAATCAAGCTGATGATACTATTTTTAAAAGGCTTTGGGGATACTGCAGAATCAGCTTCTTTGATGAGTATTCTGAGCAAGAAGGATGAAACCAGGAAATATAAAATAATGAGTTAGCTAGAGATGGATGGAATTGCTGGGAATATCCAAAACATTGAAAAAACATTCTAAAATATTGATAAGTAAAGTTTCTTTTTTTAAATAAAAAAAGTTTATACAAAACTCAGGCCCTTTGAAGGCTACTACAAGTGTCTACTCTGCTAAGAAAGGTGGGGGTGGGGTTCCCAAAATCAGTACTCAGAGGTAATGAAATAGATGCAGGAATTTTTTTTTTTTTAAATAAGCAAAGCTACAAAGAGAACACAGCTGGAGTTCTTACTAATAGAATTGATTTATATTATTTACACTTCCCACAATTTGTTTTTCAAATTCTGCTTTTGCTGCAAAAAGAGAAAAAGGGAATACTGTTAAGAGTCAAGTATGCTTTTATCATAATCAGGCTATCTGAGGATGTAAAGTAGATTAGAAGAGGGCCAGGTCTGTTCACTGTATATACTGGTTGCCAACAAAGAAGTATTAAATACGGGTAACTGGACAAAGTAATGTTACCACTGTGTTTCTGGGTATATAATACTAATACAAATTAATAATCATAATAATGGTAATAAATCTAGGAGTATAGCAAAGAAAAAATATGTAAAGCTAAGCTCTTGCCCTTTTCTGAAGAACTAATCTGCACTAGGGTCCGTAACTGAATGAGATCAAGAACTAGCAAACACCAGCAATCTTATAGGGGAATAGCATAAAATGCAGCAGTTTGAGGGCTACTGTTATCAGCAAGGATTAAGCTGAGGTGAGCTCACTGCTCAGAGAAGTTGGGGGGACTCTGTGTACCATCTCTGCTCAGCCCACTGTGTCTCTGCAGGGGGCTTGTAAGATGAGTGCTCTTCTGGTGCACCCTAGCTCCTGGTTGCTGCTAAAAGGAGTACTTTTGCTTAAAAAGAGATTGCAACACAAACTTGTATACTCCATCAGTCTAAATGACTTAAAGTAAGAGGGGCAGAATTAAAGAAATGACATCTAAAGATGCAAAGTCAGGGAGACATATTTTTTAGAAGATCTGATCTGATCTATGACTACACCCACATCCACTTTTAGGCAAAATGATACACTTAAGATATATAAACTGCCTGAGTGTATATGCAAAATTAGAAGAGACACATTTAGCATTTTTTATTCCAGTTAAATACTCCCATTGGTAACTGTGAAGGAGAATAAATAACTAATCGTAAAAGGATTCTAAATTTTGCATCGTAGATTTATCTATGAGATTGGTAGGATGTGTATATGTTTTGGGAGGTATGTTTCAGGACACGCTTGAAGATCACAGCATACAAGAATAATGTATTGAAATTATTTTACCGAGTAATTGATGCATCTTTTGACTATGTGCTATCGAATATTATTATGTAAGATGCTAAAAAGAGATGAAACTCCAAGAAGTGGTAATTAGCTGTTTTATGAAAAAGGTTCATTCATGCACTTTACTTGCAGTTTTCAACAGAGGGAATACTTTTCAAAATCCAACAAGAAGCATGAAGATACCAAAATTTCTCCCCTATTTAAAAGTTTTTCCTTATTGTTCCCTGAAAGATAGGTAAGGTTTGCCTTTGAGGCATCTTATATTCCTGTCAGACTTCTTTTATGTTTGAATCTAGTACAGAAGGAAGGTGTCAAAAGAAATGAAACTCTACTGGGTGTCTAGGGAATGTAAATATTTCTCTTTCTCTGCCCCAAGGACTTGTTTGCCTATATTTTGACAGTCCATGAAATCTTTGACACTGAGACCTGTCAAATATTAACAACTTTGCACTGTGCCAAACTGACTCATCATTTACACTTTTATCTTTTTTTTCAACTTTGATGTCGATCATTCAATGAAAAAATAAAATAATAACAAAAAACCCTCAAGCCCCTGACCTGAAGAACTTTAAATGAGACTCTTTCTGACATCTTTCTCACCTGCATAGGTTTTTCCTGTGTACTTTCTATATTAATAGATACACTTGTCAGAAATCAAGATTAACACCCATCTGTTCTATTACTGCTGACCTGTTGCTCTGGGTCATATTTTATGCAAACAAGGGTATTGTTAAATCAGCATAATTAACTTGAAAAAGCCAAAGTAGGTCATTAACTGCCACTCAGATTTTTAACAACTTTTTTCAACTGATTAATCATTGCTCTGATGTCAGAAACCATAGAATTATTTTTTATTGAAAAAAAATTAATTCCTTCTATGCTTAAGTGTCATAAAGTGAAGAGCACATATTACTATTTTTGATGTTCTTACTGTACTTGATACTCGGGACAGAAACCTACAACATCCACATGGCAGAAGAACAATTTAGAGATTTAGGTAAAAAGTGAAAGTTCTATAACTTTTACATTTTGTGAGAACCCTACAGCATTTTGATAAATCTTATTTCTAACCCAACATTTTATGCATGTATAGCAAAACACATATGTATGTGTTTACAATATGTAATTTTTGTTTTTCTAACACACACACACTCATGCTCACAAACAGACAAAGTATAACCTACATCTTGATTTGACATGTCCCAGTAAGGCCGTTCTCCATAAGACATTACTTCCCACATAACTATTCCGTAACTCCACACATCACTGGCTGATGTAAATTTGCGGTACTGGATGGCCTCTGGAGCTGTCCATCTCACTGGAATTTTTCCACCCTATGAAAAAAAAAGAAAAGAAGGAAGTTTTCTTTTTTCTCCACAAAATTTCCATATCATCTTCTGTAGAGTGCATTTATAATTATTTCCATCAACATCAAAAGCAGCAATTATCTACTATTGTTGACCAATTACAGAATTTTCAAAGGAGTCTAAGGAAGTTTAGGCTCTTAAAACACTTTGACCATAGAAACTTAGACACCTGTCTAAGCTAAGTTGGATGCATTTCTCTGGAAGGATATCTATTGATTTTAAGGGGCTGCTTAGATGTCTGACTTACAGTAGTCATTTAACTCCTGGCTGGCTGAAGCTAGGTGAGAGAAATCTCATCCTGTGCATATAAATCCCATTGACTTGTCATACGGCTCCTCTGAAATCTCTGTCTGACATTTTTAAACCAGAATCCCACTTAGAGCCCAGCGGCAGGAGTGATAGCTGTGAATGCCGGTGCAGTTTCCTGGATCCCTGTGCCTGTTGGAGCAGATTCCAGGGACCCCTCCTTCCCTCAGCATGAGAAAACAGGTACAGCAAGGCCTCACAGGTGGGAAAGTGGAGCTGGCTCAACAAAAGAATAAAGACCATAGTGTGCCCAATGAATGCTTATTTAAGAAAAGCGTCCCACCCAAAAGCAAGGGAAAATACAGGAGTTGAGCTTTGTCACAGTCTAGCCTCAAGCTAGTCAACTTTTTGGTGAGATAAAATCTAGTCTGATAAATACTAATAGCCTACAAATATTTTAATTGACTCATAGTAAATGAGATGATTTAAATTTTTATGGCTAAAACTTCTGTATTTGTACAAACAGAAAATCATCAGAAAGGAAATAGTGAAGATACTGTGCAAAATTTTTAGAACTTTACCAAATAACAATGTATATTCTTACAAACATATCAGTCCCTAATTAGAGCCAGATTTCTGCAGACTCTTTTTCCTTTTGACTGGTTAACTTTTCTCAAGCAATTAATGTATTTCTCTTATCTATACTCTCTAGAAGATATGCTTCTTCTTAATAATCACATCTCAAAACTACTAAAACCCATTGATTTCTCTTACGGTAGTAGTGTAGACGGCCTCTGGATCATCCTCTATAACTCTGGAAAGGCCAAAGTCTGACACTTTACAAACAAGGTTGCTGTTGACAAGAATATTGCGTGCTGCAAGATCCCTGTGTACATATCCCATATCGGCCAAATATCTCATTCCAGCAGCAATTCCTCTTAACATTCCCACTAGCTGAATGACTGTAAATTGCCCATCATGTTTCTGGAGGGAAGAAAGGAGCAGCAATTCTTATTAGTATAGCTGAGAAGAGAAATAAGAATTAGTTTAACAACTTTAGCTTTCTACTTATTTGCTACTTCTGTGGCAATTCATCCTGGGGCAAAGAAACTCACTTCAAACACAAGTTTTATTTTCTTCAGAGATAAAGCAGTACATCCAGTTAAGAAATGTGTGAGTAGTTAATGTACTAGAAGTAACAAAACTTGCTAATCACTATAAATTTCTGGCTAAGTCATGGCAAATCTTTTCTAAGAGAGATTACCTGATGCACAGCTCATTATAGTTTGCCTCTTACTCTTCATCTCATCATAATTATTTGTATCAAGAAAATAAGAACTATCTCCTTTTGGAACCCTAGTTACTGATAATTTTATTCATAGCTTGGAGTTTATCAAACACACATAATCTTTCTCTTCTCTATAGAGTGTTTATACATCATTTCACACTGTCTTGTACACTTGGTAAGGAGTCAGAACTGGCCAGTTCAGAACACACACTCAAAAAATCCTGAATTGTTGTGAACTTGCATTTCTTTTTCCTTTGTTCTCTTAAACACGACCCTAGTTCATTTAGGGATTCTTGTATGCTGATTTCCACCATGCTGACACAATAAAATTCTGCTCTCAGAAGGCAGAAGATTGCACTTCAGGTATCAAGTGGTTTTAACTTCAGCTGGTGGCAATAATAAAACCCACCATGTCTATGCCACATTAAATCACTTAAATTCCTAGAATGTTCCCTGTCTGATCCTCTCATTTCTGACCTGGTTTTGCTGAAATAATGTAGAGAACTGCTAGTATTTATCAAGCTCCATTTCAGCCTGAAAAGCATTTTAATTATATGAATATCATGCATGTACATGTATATATATGCACACATATAAAACCATATTTTTTAAAGTGACAATATACAATGTAATATATATGTTAATTAAAATATGTTTGTATATATTTTCATTTTGGTACTCACCCTAAGAAATGCATCTAAGGCCCCATTTTCCATGTATTCTATTACAATCATGACTGGCTTCCCTGAAAGAAAAGAAGACAGATTTTGTTTGAGAAACTGCAACACAAATGGAGTACCTTTTTTGGATAAAACACATGTTATTCCTTTGAAGGACTGAATCATTGAGACAACGAACATTTCTGAGGCCTCCAGCACTGTTACTGCGCTCTAATAAGTTCTTAAATGTCTGTATGGAACGTGGTCATGATTCACAAAATTAAACCATACAAATCAAAATGTCAGTGTGTTCTCCTGGCTCCTGCTGTGTGAACAGAACTCTGGAATAATGAGACTTCAGATAATATGAAAGGACATAAGAAACCTTATCTCTCTGCATGGTCTTTGAGGCTAAATGAAACTACAAATATAATATATTTCAAAGTACTTCATGTTTTAATCATGCGTGCATCTTAATTTTTTTCCTCAGGTTGTAGCACAAAGTTAGTATTGTTTTAGTTAGTTACACATCAGGAGAAAATCCATTAGGAGTGTGCAGCCTGTTTATAATTTGAATCTTTGACCATGAATAAGCTAAAGTAATTTCTGCCATTATGTTGTTATTTGACTGACAGATCGAGCTGCTGCTTACCTCTGGTAACGACCCCTTCTAAGTGAACAACGTTGGGGTGGTCAAACTGTCCCATGATGCTTGCTTCACACAGGAAATCTCTCCTTTGCTTTTCAGTGTAGCCAACTTTCAGAGTTTTTATGGCTACTGCAACATCTCTCTTGCCAGGGAGCTTTAGACGCCCACTGCACACTTCACCAAACTCTCCTAAAATGAAGTAGATCAACACTGAATTACTCCAACTATAATATCAATATTCTTTTTAGGCCTTCATTCAACTAGCCACCTATGTGTTTAAATTTAACATATAAATGTTCATATTTGAAATGGATTACTTAGGAACACAAAGACAGGCATGTGCTTTAAATTAATTGCTGACTAAGTACCTTATGGAGTAAACACTTCACGTTAAGCCAATCTACAGGACTGTTATTTGAATCTTTTAAGAGACTTGTTAGTAATTTGTTATATTTTTTTCAAAAATAGGAAATAAAAATGAAGTAGCTTTCATAAGAAAATACTATTACAGAAATAGTAACACAATTTCTAAGTGAAAATGTCATTCTGTTCTACATGGTTTCCTTGCTATCTTTAGATTTGATGGGGTTTTTTCTTTCAAAAGGCAGCTTTCAGAGCTCTTTCAGAGCTGCTTTTAATTTAACATCGTTATGGTGTTAAATGAAGCACTACATTATTACCTTCAAGCAGGATAATTTACTTTGCAGATTATGAAATGAAAGGTGTGACTTATAATAATTTTGTTACATTAAACAAACACAAGCAAATGCTGGAAGTTTGTAAAAGGATTCTAAACTAACAGAAAATTGGAACTTGAAGAAGCATGTGAAAAAAATGACCAAACAGCCAGCAAGAATACCAGAAAAAAGCCTCAACAACCATAATCTGGGAGAGAAGTAATTGGACTCCATCAGACAGGAAAGAGGATGGAAGCATGCGAGATGTGGAGCTGAATGGCAAAACATCTACCTCACTATTATTGAGATTGTGAAAGATTTGATGTCCCTTGCCTCACAGCTGTGTCAGCAGAGAGAGAAAGAGATACCCCTTATTCTGTAGCTAGGAAGAAAAATCCCTTGGGATATATAAGAGAAAAGGATAGCAACATATACTGAATAAAGGGGAACACCTCTTTAAAAAGAGAAAGATTCATCACAAAAATATTTAATAATCTGTTACTTTGCAAATTTATCTGGAGTACGGGAGATATAGATCCAAGTCCCTCCTCCAAATCAAATCAAGTCTGAAATTTATCTCCTGCATAACTGTGGAGTGCCTTAACATTAAGTTATTGAGTGTACACAAGTACGCAGACACACCTACATCCAAGACATGTTTTAAGGTGAGCGCTGAAGAAAATGATTGGAGAGAAGGACAAAGGCAGTGCCTGGGCCTCAGCTTCACAGTTCTCCAGCCAGAAGGGTAGAACTTTGGCCAGACCTTAGTATTTCCTACAGACTTGTTTGGGCAAATCTCTAGTCAGCATGGTTGGCTTTACAAATCTCATAGGAGATAACTGCATACAGAATCAAATGCCTCTCCCTCCTGTTCTATCCTAGCTGAATTAAGGTTAGCTCCAATCAACTCCATATACCTCTGTTAACACCATGCTGTACCTGAGCTAATTGGCCAGACAGAGTACAACTGTTCCTGCCTGCACAAGTAAAGTATTAGCCTCAACCATCCTTGGGCAGTGGAGCTGTGGTCTGAATATCCATCTCATAGCTATGAATACCATGAGGCATAGCTGTTACATACATAACAACTAGCTGCTCATGCCCTTATCTTGGTGCCTTAACCTCCCTCCTGCACTTCATTAGCAATATGGATGACTATTAATGAATTCACCACTCACCTCAATCATGGCTCCTAGCCACAAGAGCTTACTAAAGGACAACAATTTTCTCTAGCAGTACCTTCCAAAATTGTTTTTGTTCCATGCTGGAAACCAGACTTGAGTTTAAGTGTGTGCATGTGTGTATGTAACACTTCAGATCCAGGTAATTAGGATACTTGGCATGGGAGACATAGAATCATAGAATCATTAAGGTTGGAAAAGACCCTTAAGATCATCAAGTCCAACCGTTAACCTATCACTGCCAAGTCCACCACTAAACTATGTCCTCGAGCACCATGTCTACTCTCCAGGGTCTATACCTCCAGGGATAGAGACTCAACCACTTCCCTGGACAGAGTGTTCCAATGCCTGACTACCCTTTCGGTGAAGAAGTTTTTCCTAATATCCATCCTAAACTTCCCCTGGTGCAGCTTGAGGCCGTTTCCTCTTGTCCTATTGCTTGTTACTAGGGAGAAGAGATTGACCCCCACCTCGCTACAACCTCCTTTCAGGTAGTTGTAGAGAGCAATAAGGTCTCCCCTCAGCCTCCTCTTCTCCAGACTAAACAACCCCAGCTCTCTCAGCTGCTCCTCATAAGACTTGTGCTCTAGACCCTTCAACAACTTCGTTGCCCTCCTCTGGACATGCTCCAGCACCTCTATGTCCTTCTTGTAATGAGGGGCCCAAAACTGAACACAGTACTCGAGGTGCGGCCTCACCAGTGCCGAGTACAGGGGCACTATCACCTCCAAGGTCCTGCTGGACACTAAGGCTTAACTCCTTTCCAGCTCTCTGTGATCTGATTTTGATTGATTTCCAAAAGCAGATCACTCACACTCAGGCAAATCGGAAACTTGACCTTGTATGTTATGCATTTCAGGCCAGGATGCTAGCCAATGAACTACTTTTATTCCCAAGAAAATAGTATATTCAGCCGAAATGACGCCCAAAAAGGATCTGGAAAATATGACATTAAGAGTGGGAATACTGCACAGCCACACAGTCACAAGCTCAGCATGTCAACAAGGAAGAGACTGAAACAAAGGATGTGTGGTATGAGAAAGGACTCAACATAGTGGACACCATATTCTGTATCTGACAGGTGCCCGCAGCGGGATGGTAATGAAAACATTGGCAAGGAAAGAACATATCCCTCGTGCAAATCGACTACAAGCATACTTGCACCCTGTTTGTCTGAGAGAGACATGGCACTACTCAATAGTTGATGTGGCCAGCACTGCTGACGCATATTGAGAGTGCTAAGTGGCTTTTCTGGTGCTGTCACTAGTAGAAATTCTATATTCTTCTTTGATGTATGAGTTTCAGCTGCTTCTTCAGGTCTTTAACATTCTGTTTTTCCTGGACTGGATTTCATTTCACTCCTATTTGCTATTTACATCAACAGGTTAAAGCCATAGCTAAACTCCATACACAATATGCTTTCACCATAGCACTTCTAATTAACTTTCTTCAGAATGACTACTAACACACGTTAGTTTTTTTGCTATCAGTTATACTCATTAAAATCAAGAATAAACTCATCTGCAGTCAACAAAAACTAACATTGGGGAATTATGCTGTCATAACAGTGAAAATACGTTTTAAACTGTATATTTGCTATCAAAGCGTTTTCAGCATTTTGCTCAGAAAGCATCGGCAAAGTCCAACTGAATATATCTTTGTGCTCTGAACTGTTTCTCTGCTGATAGTTTTTTAACTGAAAGCAAAAGATAAAGCTCAGTAATTTTTCTGTGTTAATCTTGAATTTAAATCTTGTATATTGTGTATTTATTAGAAGAGATGCTGCCATTCTAGCACCACAAAAATTGCTAGTTAGCAAGGGCCGGATACTTATGCTCTTACTTATCCAAAGGAATAATTTGCTCAGCAGTGTTGTTAATTTCCATGGTACTACTCCTTGATTAAGACATGATTCAACATGAGTAAGGTTACTTTAAAGAAGCATTGTGAATTCTAAGTGTAAAGATTTTTTTACAGGTAAACCATCTTCTTTTAGACATATTTCTTCTCTTTTTAAATAATACCACAGTATGTAATTTACAGCGCATGCCAAACTACAGGGTGATTTAAAAAGTATTCTACTAATACTTTTATAAAACAACAGGAAAGCAAAAGAACATTTCCTCCAGGAATCCAAAGTATTTGATATTTTTCTTACCCACGGAAACTTAATTTCACTACATGGAGTAGTGCAATAAAAATGTCACATATCTTATTAATGTAAACAAATGAAACTGCCTTTTTAGAGCATGAACACCATGGCTTAAGTAGGTGGTAGACAGTTCAAGAGGAAGAAAAGCAATGTAATGCTGGTGCAATTATAATCAGTCATGAGAAGTTAAACAATAACTTTTTGTATTCATAAAATATCAAAAAGAAAAATGGTAGAACAAAAAACAGCCTTAGGGAAGATTTTGTTATACAGAAACAAGACCTTCATAGTCTCTATTTAAGACTTTGTGCTGCAGACAGTTTTCTTTACTCACATGAACAAAAATTCAGAGGTCAAAAAGCCCTCTTGCAAAAGGAAAACGAGCAGAATTTGCACTCATGGCTAACGCCTTTACTCTGACAGTAAAAAATAAGCAGTAAAACTTCCCCCATCCCCCCAATTACATTTTTAACAGCAGATACAGAATTAGAAACCCAAAAGGTTTCAATGTCAAGCAAAACTCTTCATTTACTTATTTATTTGGGTTTTTTGTTGTTTTTTTTTTTCTCCCCTGTTTGTTTTTACATTTTAGAAGCGAGTGCAGCTTCATTGCTCCTAACCACTCTGGCAAATGCAAAAAGTTCTGCTATACTTGAGGTATAATTATTTGCCTGTCATTATGATGTATGAGTTTCGATCCTGGCTAAATGGAACAGTTGAATCAGGAAGCCACGGCAGCCTTACCTGCACCAATCACACGCTCAATTTTAATACAAGAGGCATCTAGCTCCTTGGCGAATTGATGGACAGCTCTATTTGGGTCCTCGTAGGTTTCAGGGTCAATGTAGGTTTTGGTGCCTGGAAATTTAACTGTAATGATGTAAGAAAGCATGACTGTGATGAAGCAAAGGCACTTATTGTGCAGTCAGCCCAGGAATTTCATTATGCAGAGTGCTCCTTGGAAGAGTGAACCTGCTTCCACACTGCCTGAGTCAGAGCCGCTCTGAGAGGCAACCCTAGTTTTAGGCATCATCTGCAAGCACGCTGACACAAGTACACAATTCCATCTCTAAAAATGACTAACATTAGCACCTGCATCTCCATCTTGAAGTGAAAGAAGTAACAAATATTAAATAGCGCTCAATGGAATAAAATGCAAGGGTTGAGTGGGAGCAAAAATAAAGCAAGGGAAGGGGGATAAGAGCAGCAGAGGAGGTGAATCTTTCTTTTCTGTGTAAGGAAAGCTTATCCTCTTTTCCCAGGTTGCATAAACAGGATTTCTTTATGTTATCTCTGTCTTCTAATGGGATTTGAAAGGCTCCTCGACCTACTTCAATTTGCTTAAACTATTGAATATATATTATTTACAGACGGTGGCAATAGCCAAGCTAAACTATTCACAGCACTTAGAATTTATATCCTTAGGTATGTTTCTTGCACTAGAATATGAACGTGAGAAACACTTGTAGTCAACTTGTAAAGGCACAGGAAGGGAAAGTGGGCTCTGTGGCACAATTATTCCCTTTCTCAAGCACCTAAGTGAATAATACGCAGCAACTTGGTTTCTCCTTCCTCTTTCTCCGGTATAGCACTTAGCGCAATTCAGACAGTGTAACGCTCTGGCCAGGATGTAGTTTTTTCCCTTAGTTTGCTGCTGATTCAGGAAAATTATTATTTGCCCTTCTGGTGAAAGTAGAAACTTCTGGTGAAAGTAGAGCAACCCTGGAAATCTATTAACCGCGGAATTTTTATGAAATAAATTTGGCTTACAAGGATTACACTCCACAGCTTTAATTAAAACAGTGAATTACAACTCAATACGAAAATGCAAGAATGTTCCTCTGCTAATTGATATACTGATATACAAGAATAGGGTCAAAAGTCAGTACAAAACATAAATAATTTGTGGTTGGTTTGTAATCTTTTAATTGAACACAAAATATTTTATATTTGAAAATATATTGAAAAATAGCTTAGTAATCATGTGTATTTATGTTTCAGTTGGTATTACTGCCCCAAAAAAACCCAAACCCTCATAAAAAGGAAAAAGCTAGACAAATTGTTTGAGGAATGTAATGAATTTACATCCAGAGAAATTATTTGTAATTTTGCCCAGATGTTATTAACTGCCATATTATGTATTTAAACAGATATTCTTCCAATTGTATTGATAATGATACAAATTTTTAAAATTATAAATATTTATTTCTTAAAAACCAAAAAGGACCAGGGAACTGAGAAGAAAGCAATAGGTTAACCTCCTATAATAGCGCTTTCAGGCAGGGAGATGGAGAATGAGCCATCCTCTTGTGTTTGTGATAAGGGGTCTGGATTGGATGTAACCTTGCGAATCTCAAATGGGCCTCTGATGGTTCTCTATTCAAGCTGTCATAAAACATTTTGACAGGCCAAGGCTATTCTGGCATACCAACATAAAATAGTGCTGGCCTGAATTTGAAAACATTGTTAGAAGAAAATGGTAGGAGGAAACCAAATATAAATCTGAATTGCTTGACTAAACTCCCTTGTACTTGTATCTTTAAGTGTAGCTCTTGAGGTCACAAAGAGTTGAGGGGGACTGAAATGAAATATATGATACTCTATTAAATACAGTGCTTTAAAACCTGCTTTGAAAAAAATGGTTCCTTATAAGTTTTTGTGTTAAGTAAGTGTTTGTTGTAAGTTACATTTTTGAAAATCCAATCTGGTACCTCATTACAGAAGAAGATTGTCTAGATGTTATGGAGCAGAAGAACACCAAACTGGTGTCCACAACTCTGTGACCAAGCTGGTAACCACAGCACTGGGTTCCATCTCATTCTGTACATGGTTACCAAATAAAATTAAACTAAACCTTCAATCAACAGACGATGAAAAACTAGTTTGGCAAACAGTGACTTATATTTGGTGCTATGATTTTAAAAAGACTCTGTATGCTAACTGTTCTGACTGATTTGCTGGATAACCAGATTTCTTGAAAGTAAAATGAGGGAAATGAGCACTTATAAAGTCTCACCATTTCTGGATCAACTATTAATCATTAAGTGGAAGCTTTCATATTAATTCATTTACACTTTCACAGAAACAAAATATGTCACAGATAATGGAGATGAGGAAAGGAATTATTTAGCTAGCATATTCCTTTTGTTTACATACTGAAATACAAGAATACATAGTTGATCTTTTCCTTCAAGGACATAATGGGAATTTTAAAAGTGAAAGCAGTAGCTCTTCTGAAGACGTGAAAAGCTTATAATGCATCTATGAGAGGCAAATTTCAAATCCATCACTCCCAGAATAGTAACATTTAAATAACATCAGATTTTTGATGAATTCTTTAAAATCAGCAGCACTGCAAAGTGCATGATAAATAATTCTTATCCCATTTATATTTTCCACCTTTCTTGCACAGATTATGAATTGATTGACTAAAGCCTCAATGATGTCACTACTTAGTTTAACACTCACTGCATTTAAATGAAATTATTTATGTAGCAACACACTCAAACTCAGAGAGCATGAACAAATACCAGCTGATCTGATTTTTTCGGGGCAGAGAGGTGAAACAGAAACCTTGATCTGATTTTGAGTGGAGCTTTGGCTAGAACTACTTGTTTAAAGAGGTGTGCATTGAGAAGATGCTACAAATTTGTGACTAGTGGCTACTTCATTCTCCATGTGACATTACATTCTGATAGGAGTTCATGATATTAACATACGTAAAATAAGATAAATCATATTGCTTTCATAAAAAAATCTGACGGATTTAAGCTCCAGCTGCAATTATTGGTAGACAACAAAGGCTACATACAGCATAGCATGACTAAATGGCAAGTTCTATTGATATGAGAGTTATCAGGTATGGGAAATGACTGGAAACGCAGGCATTGTTTTGTGTCAGAACTTATATTCAGTTTAATTCTATTATGTGATTTTGCAATTTTGGATGCTCAAAATCAATTTGCTACTTAGTTTTACCATATTTCCTGAGTCAGTGACTGATTCTAAAAGAAATTAAAACATTTTTAATTTCTCATGTCAAAATGATATCACAACTCAACTGAGAAAGGGCTAAAATAAGAAAGTTTTTTAAACAATATTTTGGTAAAATTGAAACTATTCTTGCATAAGCCTTCCCCCCCCAAATTTTCAGTTGTCGTTAACCCAAGAAAGATGTATTTTATTGAATTTTCCTAGGGTTCTAGTATAAGTTCAGATGGTAGCTATGATTTCAACAAAAGAGGTTTTAGGCAAGTGATTCTAGAACAGAGAACAGTGAAGACGTAGCTGACCTTTTCATATTAAATATTCTATTTTTACTGACATTATGTTTTGTAAATATTGATGCCACAGTCTTCACAGTAGCAGAAAACAGCTTTTGAGCAGAACAGCTTCATTGTAAGGGTGATGCAGTGACCCACACTTTCTTAATCTGAAGTTTGCCTGAGGTAAAGATCATATAGTTACTTAGCCAAAGGTCTCTCAAATACTGCACCTCAGAGGGATCATTAGGACGGTGTGAAACATGTATTCAAAGCAACCAAAAGCAAAAAAATATGCAGAATGAAAACAACCGTGTATCATACACATGTATAGAAATAAAACTGTCTGTGTGAGCAACGTTGACTTTAATCTGCATTCTTTTTGTGTAGGTCACATATTTACAGTGTTTAACTTCCCACTTGCTATTTACATAGCATTTTTGAATGTCTTATGGCTTTGTCTTTCATGGAGTGTTGTTTTAGTATTGTCTACACTATTGCCGTTGGGAATTTTTGAAAGGGGAAAAAAAAAAGCAAAACACTTACAATGAAAGTAAAGTTCTTCATCTCCTTCTTGATCAGCTTTGCTATAGCCACAATGCCTGAAAAGAAAGACGCCAGTTTTACTGGTAAATAATGATTTACTTCCTCACCTCTGAAGTGCCGACAACATCAGTTTTGCAGGCTGGGATTTTCAGGCACTGAGCACCTAATTCCTGTAGGCCCTTTGAAAGTTTCAGCTATAATTCTCTTGACAGCAGAGTTTTAAATAAATCATGAACAGTTGCAATCAAAAGGCTTTTGTATCAAATACCAGTTGGGACAGGTCCTAAAGAGAAAATTCTAGTTCTTGTGAAAAGCTTCTATGGATAAAACAGAGGATTAAAGATCTTGAAAGTAGAACACAGTTTTACATGAGGGTATTCTTAAATTTACTGCTGTGCCTCTTTTTCTTGAATGTAAAGTCATTTAAAGGCTGATCAGATAAAGTGTCAGACTTCTCCACGTGAGAAAACTGAACAGAAAGAGGGACTTTGAGGAGTACAGGTAAAGAACCTGCTGGGGGTTTCTTTTACAGCACATTTACATAGGACAAAAAGAACATCTTGATTTAAGTGTGTCTTGCCAAAGTAAAAGGACAAACTGTATAATTGATAATGGGATTTAAACAAAAATTGTCCTTACTAAAAATTACTTCTGTTTCAGTTTTGCAAATTGCCATCCCAGATTAGACTATGCCTCAGGAGTTCACAAGAGTGGGGTCAGATGCACTTATGCCTATGCAAGGTACAATACCTTCGCCCAATGATGAATCCAAACACCATGAAGACCAGAATGATGGTTCCTGCCACAGCAACCACAGCTATGATAATAACAGGATTCTGTTCACTGGAAACAGCCGTGGCTACAAACAGAGCACAGAGCAGAGATTAGTTTAAACTTATTCCCTACAAAGAAACTGCAAAACATTAAGTCAACCTTCATGAATTGCAAACTGTTTTCATTTTCAGTTGCCGGAAACAATTAAATTGATAAAGTTAGTCTAAAGAAGAGCCTCCATTGGAAATTCATCCAAATGCTGGATGAGTTAATGATTGTCTACAGGGAATAAAAAGGAGCTATGCTGGAATTGACTTGGTCAAAGTGGTACAGCCATTAGCCGAAAGCCAGCACCAGCCACTTCCACTCCCTCTGACTGCTACGCTGCCTTCTGTGTTGCTCAGTGGTTGACTCCTTCCTAAAAGGGAAGACCTGGATATCCCTGTAAGGGGGCACAGTAGGAGAATAATCCCTGAAGAGCTCTGCTCCTAGCCTCCCCTGTAAAACTGGTTGATATGACTTTGATGGCATATTTTTATCTCTTACTGTTATTGATCATTGTAAATCACTATTATTACTTATCATTCATTTCTGTTAGCAATGAAAAGGTGCTTCCACATATACAAAATGGAATTCTCCATACTTCAGAGAATTTATGTGCTAAAATATCCATACATTATCACTCTTTTTATTCAGATATGCCAATGCTATTAATATATGCAAATGTATGCATGTCACAGTAATGTAAACTGAGGATGTAAATACCTTGCCTGAGAAACCTCAAGGTTTGTTAAATACATTGCTTGCCCAGCATCTAATGAGGGTGGCCATATACTCAGTCTCATTAAATGAGTACAGCTCTACCGAACTCTATGGAGTTACGTTGATTTGTAACAGTGAGAATCTAGCCCAAGAGACTGAGAATAAAGAAGGAGACATCAGGCAGTGATGCTGAGCAAGGGACTGTGAAAGTGTGAGTCATCTAGAAGCAGCAGAGAGATAAAAGAGGGGAAAAAAAAAAAAAAGGAAACTCAACTGATAGCTGATTAACTAAATTGTAGATGGTATGTTAATATGTTTAGCTGCTGGTAGTGGTAACTGAACAGGAATTTCTACACAAGGATTTTATGAATTCCGCAGAATTAGGTTCCTGTTGTAGACTTCAGAGGTTCCCATAGAAACAAACAAACCAGTCTTTTCTTTGCTCTGCCTTGGGAGAAGTGAGCCAATCATCATGATTTATTTGTCACTGACACTGACCTGTAACAGCTGCTTTGCCCCCCAAAATAACAAATCCCTTGTTATTCTACACAGATATTGAATAATATGCATTAAGGAGAAATTTCCTCCCTGCCCCCCAGTTTCATTTCCTAAAGAAACTTTGTAATTTTTCTATGTTCTGCCTAATGCAGGTAAGGAAGACCTCATTATTTGTGTTGGTCTTTAAATGAAAAGAGCAAATGCTTATTTTTGAGTAGCTATAACTTTCTGAGATACCCAGATCAGTAAGATGCTACCACAGGCCGGCATATATTCCACTTGTGGAACTTTTAGGAAATCAGTGGTCACTATCTCAAGCAAGAGTGTAGGGACATAAGTAATACAACTCAGTTCCTGTGACATCACCAGGCCATCAAAGCAGACAATCCCAAGCATGGGAATGTCAAATTTAGGTAAAATACAGCATTTCCTAAAACTGTTCCCTTCTCTCTTTGAACTTCAGTGCAAACCTCACTTGGAAGTCAAGAAGACTTGTGACAGCATCCTGTCACAATGGCCAGGGTGCAAAGCTGCATCTGTTTATCAGAGTTTGGAAAAATACTCACCCCAGCCTGTCACCTAATCTAGCAGGCAAGTTGAGTGCATAGAGGTTGACATATGTGAGTGGGTTGCTCTGCAGAACTGCCTCACAGATTTTGGGTACTGGCACATTCTGGAAGCAAGCTGAGGTTGTTATTTGGGCTCTGGAAAATGTTAGGGGCATGGTACACTGGCCAACTGGTAAGACAGGTGGGATGCAATGTATGATGTATTTTTACATCTTTAAAAAAAAAAGGTCTGATTGGGGGTATGGTCTGGTATGAATTCAGTGACAGCAGTCTAAGACATCTGCCTCTGTTCACATATTCTGTGCTGCTTCTCCCTTCTGTGTAATGAACTCAGTCTGTTAGTGTAAGGGTGAATGAAGACCCAGCTTCTGGAATAATCACTGGGGTTTGGCAGAAATAAAGATGCTAGAGTGTTCTTAGAAGAATGATTTTAGGGTGCAGATGATCCTTTCAGGGCGTGTATGGCATAGTTACCTGTCACTGGTGCTGCCACAGTGGTGATGGCAGGGAACCACCATCAGAACAGGAAAGTCTGCCCTTATCTCTGCTTAAGCTGTGCTCAGACTCAGAGCAAGACAGGGACCTGATACTTGGGCAATCAGGTACAGGTGATACCTAATCTGACATTATGATATTTGCATATTCAAGTTAATGGGGCAACACTTAATTTAAAGGAGTTAAAACCACCATTTAAGTACATGGTTGGAGGGATGGGGAATGGATATCCAAACACCCTGGAGGATTTTAAAAAGATCAGCTGTAAAAGCTGTGCTGCTCCTCCAGCAACATTTTCTCCTGCGAGCAACCTGAAATGTATGATTTGCAGAAAAGAATTCCTGATGAAGTCCACCATGAAACCTTTAATGATAAATTGGATTCGTATCACTTTCTTAAATATTGTTCTTTCTGTCTTCTATAAAAATTTGTAGTAGTGTTGTTTCAGACATTAGGAATAAGTTTTACATCTGCACATTACTTCAGACTTGCTTGATTTAAACTGTTTCATGGCAATAGGAAAAAGCAAAGTCTCTTATGCCAGGTTGTGCTGAGTCCTTGTACTTTAACAGTGAGAGCTGTAACAAGTGGCAAACCCCTTCAATTATAAAAAGCGCAGGATCATCTTTAGATTCATTAGCTACAAGTCATTTCATGTAACTTAAATACTTCAATGAATCAAAAGATAAAATTACCACTTAAGTGGTAATATAAATAAAAAATAAATCTATGGATTTATATGTTCTTTCTGAGGGACTTCTGTCTCTAATAACCAGTAATGATTCCAACAAAAAAAAACCACGATTAAAGTACTTTGATCTGTGTCAAACACAGTATAGAATAGAAATATCCTGCCTTTATAAAGCATTTTTACTTCATAATTTTGTAATTTTTATATAAATATGTATGCAATGCCCATGTATTATATGTGCAAATACAGGTTAAAAATATGCGTATTTTACATATCAGATAATATTAATATAATGGGCGTCGTTCTTCAAATATTGAAAAGTGGCCATGCAGTTTCTATTACAATTCAGAAACTGGACCATAATACAAAAATCTACTTAATCAACAGCACCTACCAAAAGGTGCCAAACAGTTGACGTGCCAGGAGAAATTCAGATAGGCAACATGACTAGTTGACTGTGATGGTCCCTATATATATTCTTACATATATATATATGTGTGTGTGTGTATATACTCTCACTATATATATATATTCTTAAAATACTTTGGCATATTTAAAAGCTACATTCAGAATCTACTGGAATAATGAGAAGCCAATGTCTCTTAACTGTAGCATAGCACTGGTTTACTGCTTACCTGTACAGTACTTGAGGTATATTTCCTAAAAATGATCCAATAAAGGTCTTCCCTTAAAATGTTAACAAAAGAGTAATTTGATGAGCCTACAAGTTCTGATAAAACTACAAATAAAATATGAGAAACAAATATTTGTGTGTAAAACAATTCTAGAAGAACTTAATGGAATTTACTATCTTTTTACCAACATTTTAATTATTTCTGAAAACCATATATGGAAAATTGTGGATGCTTATTCTTGATGGGAATTACATTCTATAATGTCCTCTCAAGATAATGGAAAATATGCCACTTTTAAAATTTTCTTTAATGAAAGCACAGGACATTTTACATGGCATGCCAAAATACAAAGCTGGCCTGTGATAAGAGAAAAATCTGCTGTGCATACTGACCAAGTATGTCGTTGGTTTATATGCTGTTTATCATCACCTGAGTCAGAAAAAGGGTACATGAGCATGGTCAGCAATGCATTTATTCTAGGATTTCCTAATCTCTCATATGTCAACCAAACCCAAGTTAAGACTGTTTACCTCTGAAATTATCTTTGCTAATCTTAGCGGCTACCAGTATGCTTACATTCAGTACATTAAAAATACTCAGGTAATTAAGGAAATGTTGGAGAAATATTTTGGTCTACTAATTTTAAACCACTATGGACAATAAATTAGCTAATTAGCAGAAATTTATCACAGATTATGACAGACTTAATTTGTGTTCCAGAAATCTACTCAAAATAAGAAATTACTTCTGCTGTACCTCAGGTTCCCATTCTGCAAAACGGGGATTCTGTTACTGATTCTTTCTAAAGCAGAACTCTATGGATGGCAAGCATGCTATCAGACACAGAGCTAATAATATTAGTAATAACAGTTTATTGCTGCTATTATGATAATTACTATTTCAATTATGCCTATTAGACATGTGCTATTATTCATTATTGATAGTTTTCAAATTCTGTGTGGAATCAAGGTGGAATCAAGACCTAACTACTGTGTTTTAAGAATACCCACAAATTATTCAGGTGACATCTGGCTGCAATTAATAAGATGCAATAGTGTGTGTCCACACCTTAGATATGCTGCACAAAGCACAGAGAGCAGAGTTGGCATCCATACCCTTTGAACCTGTAGGCTATGTACCCTCAGCTCCAAATCTGGCTGACTTGCTGTCAGGCAAATCGACCTGAAGAAAATTACTCAAAACAGAGTAACAAAATTTGGGTCTGCCAGAGCAGTGAAGCTGCCAGGGACCCAGGTAGTTCTCATAAGTGGGCTCATGGCTGCCAGGTCTCAGTAATGCAAGAGCTTCTTTCTGAAGACCCAAAATGTGGAAGATTTTCCCTAAGCATGCATGCACATATCTACATTGGTGAGGAAAAAAGGTATCAGTGTGATTTTTAGACAAATAAGGGCATAAGATTTGTTTCAGCATCAAGGAAAGAGCATGCTCTCCCAAAATGTTATCCCTTTGCTGAGATGTCACAGCCAGATTCTCTGGTGTACTGTACTGAGAGAGTTTGTACTTCAGCTTCATACTCTCCATTGTGAGGGTTTTTGAGAAGCTGTTTTTTCTTTACACAGCTTACAACTTATTACATGAGCCTTAAAGAAACCTAGTATCTTTGAGACCTCCGTTTCTTTACTAAACCAAGTTGAAACTAGCCAATGAACTCAAAAGACACTAAGGATGGACATACAGCTTAAACAAGACACACACATAAACAAAACCATGAAAAGTTTTTTCAGGAAATCAAACAGAGAAAAAGTGATCTGGAGAAGCCTCTGTGGGCTGAAATCTCCTCTTGCCTCCTCTCCCCAGTTACAGAAGAATCTAGTAGATTCAGCTCACCACTACTCAGTTCTCCTGTGGGGAGAAAGAGGTGTGCATTTGAATGAAAAAAAGTATTTTTCTTTGTGTTAGAAGAACATCAGAGCAGAAGAACCTGATATGTTACAAATCTTCTCCAGCTAATTATGAGAGTGTAATTTTAGTTCTACGGTAAAACAACTAATTGAAGCTCATCCTTCAAAATAATCCAAAAATCCACCTTCATGTAGAACTTCATTCTTTCTAGTTTTAATAACATTGCCTATGACTCTTTCCTTTCTTGCTTTACTTACTACTTCTACTGAAAGTGTTAATTTCCTATAAATCTAATTGTTTACCTGTGGCTTCTTCTAGTGTGGCAACATCCAGTCTGGGGCTGTAATTTCCATAACCAGCAGCAGTAAAAGCACGAATCTGGAAAACATACACTGTTCCCGGCTTTAAGTTATTAATAGAAGCTGAAGTGGACTTGGTTTTCACTGTTGAATAGGTCCTCTCCCTTTGATCCTGGAAACAATAAGGCAAAAGATTAAATGATATTTACAGGTCAGATTTTATCATGGTTGCACATCAGCAACTGACAGACAGCCTGGGTAGTTTATTTCAATTTGTTGAATGTTTTTTTTCCCACATAGAGAATAAAGTGTTCTCTGTGGAGTGTTACAAAACACTGTCAATGCAATGAGGAGCTCTAAGTGTAACATAAAATTCAAATGGGATGCTCATGTTGTTACTCATAAAACATCCAGACATAAAATGATTGTTTCTTTGGCTCTGATTACATTTTGTGAAATTTTGATGAGAAAAATAGCTTGACCACAGCTTTCCAGGGGTATCCGTGGGGTCTAAACAGTTCAAGGACAGGACAATCTGTTCTTCATGGTGAGAACATCTTCCCTTGTTACCTTCCAAAACCTTTAAAAAATACAACACTGCCAATGCATAACTGTCTGGATTTTGCACCAAATTCTGAGGTTCTTAACTCAGTTTTCACTTAGTTTTTTTCCTCTGGCTTTAGTCTTTTCTCAGGTTTTGACTCTATGGCATCAAGAAGAACCCAGGGAAAGAAGCTCATTATGACACCCCCCAAATTTGAAGCTGTAAGATTACAAACCCTACGAGTAATAACTCACTTTCAAATACTACAAAAGCTGTATCACAGATCATTAGAGTATTCAAAAAGCTGTACTTATTCATCACATTTACTCATCCAGATTATCTTTCAGCATAGATATGTGCAGCCCTGTTGATTTTCAGTGGCAGATGCAACCCTGATTTGAAGGGCAGAAGAGATGAATTAACCAACCATCTGAATGCACCACATGACCAGAGAAGCACGAGCCATATGAGGCAGTGCTAATGAGACGGATACAGAGGGAAGGAATAAATCTGTAACTCATTTCAATAGCACTTTGCCAGCTAAAAATGATGGAGAACTTTCCCCTTCGCGGTCAGTAAAGCAGCAAAGGCTTTTGCTAAAATACAGTGTTAAATGCAACATACATGATTTCGTTTCTGAGATTCAGTAGTGGCTTCTCCTCGGTCTTGCCCAGTCTGTAATGTGAGCAAGCCCACTGGCTCGGCTAGCAACAATTTTTCACATCTTCTCCAAGAGGGTTTAAATCATCTGCAAGTGAGGACCATGTGGAATGTATGTTGGTATGTGAGAAAGAACAGGAATGTCTGAGATGAAAAACAAGTGTAAAGAAACCATAAACAGTCAGGTTTGGGACTGTAAGCCACAGTGGAATTTTAAGAGTTTGGGTTTTGATGCATAAATGAGGCTTATTTGAATTGCCAACAGTTCTTGCATTCAAACTAAAAAAATAACAAAGAAATAAAAATAACCTGTGCTAGAAATCTCACAGGACAGGCTTACTTGGGAGATTTCAGGCAGTTTCCATTCCAGCCCTAGCCAGATGTGAGAGGTGAAAAAAACACTTATCAGAATATTTCAGAACCACAAAAATGTTTGATTTAATTTGGCTCCAAAAGGAGCTGATATTTCAGATCTTTTTTTTTTTTGTTTTAAACTAATGGAACAAAACTTAAACTGCCTCTGTCATTCTGAGCAAGAAGCTTATGAAGTACTTTTCAAGCTGAATTTCATTATCTTGGAACGCATGCGTGCATTTAAGTATTTGTGTTAAAATCATCTCACTGAATTAAAGGTATATAGTTCAGTTTATCTGTGACTGTTTGTAGGATAAGCTTCTTATTCTATTTTATTAATTTCACTGTAATAAGTATGATACTGGTGAGTTTCTTTCCATTACAAAACAAGTTTAACATCAGTTCTTGTCTTTGCAAACATAGGAAACTGGCAATGAAACTCTGCTGCTTATTTAAAGTAACGTGAATACATAGGGGAAATAATAAAAGCTGCATTCTAAAGGTTATAATGTTATGAAAAGTCTAGTATCTTGAGCATTTCTCTGTCATTTTCCACTATCTATTTAAATTATTTATTTCATTTTAACAGATTAGAAACTACTCTGCATATAAAAAGAAACAAGTTTTTTGGTTTGCAGTTTGTGTTTTTGAGGGTATTTTTTGTGTGGAGAACAGTTTTGCCTTTGGTAAATATGTAAACTTTTTTTTTTTTTTTTAATTTATGGACTTTATTCGTGTGTGTGTGTACACACACATGATTTAGGAAGAAAAATGACCTGCTAAAATCAGTAAAATTCCTTTTAAAAAATTGTTTAGCTATCTGTACATATCTGGAAATTTTTGTTATAAGAGGTCTTAAAGTGAACAACTTAAACTGGGAGTTAGCATCAACAAATAAACATTTTATTCCCTTCCCCAAATCATATAAAGATCTTTTGATAAGTATATTTGTGTAATTCAGCACTGAAAATTAGATGTGACACTTGATATTAAATCCAATCTGGTCTGAATTTACCTAATTCCACGTTACCTACTAAGCTGACATGCTCTTTTTGATATAGAGATACTGTTACCTTGTTTGCAGAGATGAAATGTCTTCACAAGTGATCACAAAGGAACTCCTTTGTTCATTTCTTTGCATTTTAATTCTTTCTTTTTTCTTCCAGATTTTTTAATAAAAATTAGGAATATGTTATGTGCTATGGTAAATTTCCCAGGGAATCTGGAGGAGCCACACTTAGTCTGGGTCCCATAATGAACATGTAGCTGCACAACCTGCCTTCACTCTGCTTTCATTCAGCTTATGGTTGCATGTGGCCCTACTTATATGCTTGTCAGAATTTTTTTATTCTGGAGTACTTCAAAGTTATCATGAGTGAAGCCCTAGACACACTGAAATGAATGGCAAAACTCTGACTGACATCAATAAGATTGCAATTTCACTCTAGCAGAAACAGAGATCACTTCATCTACTATTGAAAAGCAGCCCTCAATTCATTATTGTGTTGAGAGAACAAGTGAAAAATAAATCTCACAATGCTGGGACTTTTTAAAAGGACAAATAAGGAATATTTATCAGCTCAAACTGTAGGAAGTGCTTTGGAAGTTTTCAGACATCAAGTCGAAGTGGCCCAGATCATAAGGAAATACCAAATGCAGTCAAGAGTTCTATTTGATATATCATCTCAAGACTGGAATTACAGTGACACAAGGAAATGAAACAAGCTACACAATGTAGAAGAGACAAGAAAATGACAAATATCATGATAAAATATGCAAGTTCAAAAACAATTAAAAAAAAGTTGAAAAAAAGCCAGATTTCAAGTGGATATTTCATTTTTAGGCTACCAAAATACAATATATGGGACATATGACAGGAATAATAATTGCAGGGATTCGCTAGTTATTAAAAACAAGCAAAATCACTGTGACTTTGAAGAGACAGAATAGTTGATAGCTGATGGCTTTAACATTGTTCCACAACACGGTGAGCCAACACGAAGCAAACAGCACATTGTTGTACATTACAGATAACCTTAGCACTTACTTTCTCATAATACTTGATTTCATATTCAGTAATGACTCCATTGGGATGTTCTGGTTCCTGCCAGGAAAGCTCCACGCTCCTCTGCAGCACTCTCTCTTTCATTACTCCACTAACTTGCGAGGGAGCTGTTTGGACAAGATGTGTCAATAAATAAAAAAGCAAATTTGTTGGATGCCTAAAATCAAATGTCATTACTGATCTACCCCATGCTGAGCCACTTTCATTAAGCTAAAAGAAAGCACCTTTTCATAGCTCACAATTCAAAGCTAATGAATATTCAAGCAGGGCCTTATTACTGTTCATAAACTTAGAATGGAAATCGAATTAAAGTGCAAACAGCAAAAAGTGGCATTGTTCAAGTTAGTGCAAAACTGAGATTGATGGGATAGGAATGACAATTAAGCAAATTAATTCTGATTAAGATAACAAGGTAGATTTTTAGATTGATGTGTAGTAAATTAGGAGTCTAAATATTTGTTGCATATGTTTCTGAAATGCTCATAAAAACAAAAAATAATGTTTTAAAAAGAAAGTCACATTTTAGGCTGATTTCATATAACTGATTCCAATTCTACTTAAAAAATAATCTGTCGCACTATCTGATTGCAGCATGACTTGTTGATGAAAACAACTCTGCTAAGAGACTAAACCCTCTCTTTTTCATTAGTTCAAATCTTTCCAGGACATTCTCTCTTTAGAGCTGAAGTTTCCATATGTGGTCTTGGCATTTGTTGAAAGTGTGAGACAATTTAAAAGTAGATCTTATGAAATAAAGGGGACACTGTCTTCCTCCACCTAACTCTACAGAGACGTATATACATGCACTCTTGCACACATACACACATAGCTTCCTAATAAACATCATCCACAAATGAGCACTTTTTGAAATTAAAAAAAGCCAACAGCGTACAAGCGTTATAGAGCCATTGACTCTCATTTTAAAATGTTTAAGACATAATGTAATAAATTGTGAGAGACTGAAAAAGTAACTTGCTTTATCAGCTTATCTCATGTTTATCAAAAAAGAAAGACAGCAGATTTTCTGCTGACGTGCAGTTCCAAAGGAGGCCCAACATCACACTTTTCCTCAAACATACATACTGCCTATATGAATGTGGTACAGAAGTCCTGTAAAACCATAGCTCTTTAAAAAACAACTGTGTCATTGGGACCATGCAGAACTTGATCTTGTTCTCTTTCAGTTCAATGGAAATAATTCAAGGGTGTAACACTGCTCATGCAAAAGATAGGTAAAGAGAGGACTTGATCCTCAGCCCCCTGCAGTTAAAAGCAAAATGACATTTATGTGTACAGGAACTTGGTCATATTCGGAGAGCAGATTCAGACACAGGAAAGAAAATGAAAATTAGAGATAAATTTATTTATATCTTTTCAAGTATAGAATCTAGTACTGATTCTATACTTGAATGTTTGAATAAAAATTCTGAAAAAATTGGATATTTTCCTAGGTAAAAAAAAGAACAACCTTATTTCAGAACTGTGTATAAAGCTTTCACTATGTAAAATGATGCACAGTCTTCAGATAAAAGAGGATTCTTATCCCATCCAACATGCAGGTGAACTTCACTTTCTCTTTTACCATTCGCCTTGAGTCTAATTAGAATAATTCCTATTATAATATTCTTTAGCACACACACTTTCCTCTATTTAATTTAAAGAAAACAGAAATAAAAAATATAGAATGCACACTCTTTTAGCATTAAGGATAAAAATATAATGATAAAGTAAAAAGATTTACAGTACAATCGAGGCAATAATCCTCTAAAAAACTTAAAATTTGATTGTTAACTTATTCTAATTGTGAAGTTTCTAGACTTTTTTATTATAACATGTAAATTCATGTAGGTTTTTTAATTAAATTTATTTACATTTCATTAGAGGCTCCAAGAGTTCATGAAAATTAAGGATTGAAGCCATGCATGATAATTTTCATTATGAACTATTATGTTGTATATAATCAATATAATCAAAGTTGAAGACCCATTAATGTAGGCTGCGTAACTGATAAAATCACAAAACTGTATCATGCACACACCATGGGTTGATACAACATTCCAAATCCAGGATCTCTCTCTTTTGCTCTTCTTGCATTCTCTTTCTAAAAGCTTAGAGTATTTTCACTCTCTAATTAGTGAAATATATTCTTTTTCATAGCTAAGAGTCTGGAATGCAGCAAACTAATTTACTCTGTCTAGCTTTTTTTGCCATGATTAACTAGTTGTCTTCTTTGTCTAAATGAGTACCACAACATCCTGGCTGAATTTCAGAGACGTCATTATGTTTCAGGTATAATGTTCTATCTCATGCAGATAAATGTTTTCTAATTGCTAATTTTACGTTTTCAGATGTCCAAAATTGTTAATGTTCATACTTATCATGAAACAATTTTATATTACCTAGGTCACTGGAGTTTGTTCTCAACATTTGCTGCCTTTTCTTTTAGCTTATCAAATTTTTTCATTCCGTTGGCTATAGCATCCATTTTTTTTAAGCAGTGAAGCAAAATGAACTCGCTTCCTCTGGTATTAGTTAACTCTGCTTATGTGGGGAAGGAACAGCAATGCAGAGAAGGAGGAATAAAGAATGGGGAAGACTTTAATTGGGGAAGTGAAATATACTATGTGAGATTCCTACTTAACATCTGTACAAAGTACACCACAAACAGGCATGTTTCGTTCTTAGGGAATTTCCCTTCAAAACATAATCTCAGTGATTTATCAACATTGCAAGACAGCATTCAAAACTCTTAAATAAATGGACTCTTAAATACATTTCCTGTCAATTAATATTATTTTCATTCAAGAATGGTCAGATTAAAAGCTGGTTTTGGTTTTGGTTTTTTTTTGGTTGTGCTTTGCCTTTTTTTTTCCTCCCTATCTAAAAACGTTGTGCTGCTTTTCATTGCAAGAACCACATGCAGAAGAAAAGAAAGTCCAACCCTTCAGACTGTATATGTTGGTAGCTCTGAAGACAATTATGTTGTATATAATTCCCATACCACAAGATATTCCTAAAATGCAGAAAGTTACCCAAGCTTATTTTGTGTTCCCACATTTGTCAGGGGAAGAAGGGAATCATCAAATCAGTTGTAGCCAGAGTATCCTCCTCTGGCAAGGTACACCAGTCTGTTGTTAGTGCAAGAAAATCTCTGTAAACTAGACCAACCACATAAGCCAATCTATTGACGTTAGAGGCTAGATGTATATGCTATCTTTGTCCTGCCTTTTGGGCTGCATTTCTTGATCTGTGCTTAATGAGAGTGTACAGTTCAGAAGCATTTTGTTCTCTATTCTAGTATAATAATTTTGTCTGTATTCTTTCTGTGCCTTCCTTACAGACTGTTTTGCATTCATGTTTTATGTGTTCTGCCTTCCTGATATTTTATTTTAAACTTTTAGCCTATTTTTCATCGTTAATTAATTAACCTATTTATGGTTTTGAAACAACTATATTTGAGCAAGCTTGAAAATGAGTTAAAGCATAAAATTCATCCCTAAATACAAGATAAAACATGCTATTAAATCACAAAAAGATAGCTCTATAAAAACAGAGTTAGAAATATCATTTTTGTTCCCATTGGTAGCTATAATAATAACAGTAATAACAATAATAACAATAACAACAACAACAACAACAACAATAATAATAATAATAATAATAACAATAATAAACTGTTTCAGCTATTTTTTCCTTTTAGTAATCTAGCTCTTGCCATGGCATCTATAACAAAGTTGTTCATGATGAAGACACTTCTTGCAGCATTTCTAGACAACTAAGTACCCAGTCCTGAATGACTTGAGCATGCATAATCCCTACTGTATCACTTCAGGTTACAAAGAAGCATCACTTGTCAGAATCATTATTTCCATAATATATTACACTGGGGGATACAGGCTGTTCAAAACACCATTTGCTATCAACTTTCTTTCTGATATACCTCATCTCTTCTTTTTCCCCTCCCTGCTGACACAACATCCAATGCATCAAACACACACAGCCTCTCCGGGCTAACAGGCAGAGGTACCTACACATGCTGCATAAGAAAGTACTTAGAGAATGACAGGCCCTCAGCACACTCATTCACCTTTTTTAAATGCTTCAAATATACCATTCAGCAAAAGGAAAAATTGATTTTTCACCAGGTTTCAACATCACAGCCACAGAGAAATATAACTCTGCTGGGCTTTACTGATAAAGCCTTCAAGTTATATAGATTTCAAGCTGGTCATCATTTTCAGATCAAGTTATAGAAAAAGTTAAACCTGAGGTGTCAAAAAGAGCAGGATATTCCAAGGAAATATTCTGCTCCAGAGAGAACATTGCATCTGGTAGACTGATGTGTTACATCTATACTGCTAAGCCAAGCATATGGTATATTATTAATATGTGCAAGTACTTATGCACAGAAAACTGTACCGATTGTTTTGGAAGGCATTGCTTTTAGTCCAGAGTCCTCTGAAAATGTTATAACATAATATTGCTCATGCCTTTAATCTCTATGCTTAGCTATTCTCTGGTTCTCATGCCTACCATTCCCCTTGACTCACAGTGTACTTTCCAAAAGACAAAAAGACAGATGCAAAATTAAATCCTTTTCCATTTTGCATCAGGGGAAAAAAAAAAAAAACAAACCAAAACAAAACAGAAAAAAGTACAAAATACTAGAACAAACCAATAAAAACTGAAAAATGAAAACATGTGAAGCTGGACTTTCACATATAAGAGGAACTAGGCATAATGCACCAATTGCTAGCACAAAATCAACTGCAACACCTTTTTATTGAAAAAAGATAACTCAGCAAAAGAAACATACCTAGCCATTTCTCTGAGATTTCTTAAAGTTCTGCATCATGAATGTGTCTCAACTCCATCAACAGCATCAGTCATGGAGACCTTTAATTTGATACTTTAAAAACATTCTCTCTAGAAGCAGCGTTCTGGTTGTTCAGTAGTTCATGTGTATAAAACAAACTATTAAAAATCCTCAAAAATAAGGGTTTCAATCCTGCAGTCCCACTTCATGCACAAAGTTTCACAAATGAACATGAGTAAATGCTCCCAGTGCAGGACCAAACTCTGTATCCATAAATGTTACCAAATCTAT